ATGCTTCACCGCATGCAGCTACGACTATATATAACATGCAGCGCATTCCTAATCTTCCCCAGAGTCTGGCATTTTATATTTCCACCTCAAATATCACTCCCACTTCAAAAGCATATTTCTGCGTCCTTATCACTGATACCTACTAAATTTAATTATACTGTAATACAGGTCACAGGAGGAACCTCTGCACTCTGACTTCCCTGAACTGGAATATGTTGTCGCAGAGAATATCCTGCAAAGCCAGGGTGGGATGTTTGGGTGAGGCAGGGCAGAGGATGGACTTTCAGCCCATACCTATGTATGTTCACTAGGAAACAAGCCTCACTGAGTTTAATGAGACTTACTTCTGAGTAACCTCGGTAAGGACCGAAGAAGTGGCAGGATGCAAAAGTGATAAAAGAAATACAGTGGTACCTCGGAAGTCAAACGGAATCCGTTCTGGGAGTCCGTTCGACTTCCAAAATGTTCGGAAACCAAGGCGCAATTTCCGATTGGCTGCAGGAAGCTCCTGCAGCCAATCAGAAGCCCCGTCGGATGTTCGGGTTCCAAAGAACGTTCGCAAAGGGGAACACTCGCTTCCAGGTTTGCGGCGTTCGGAAGCCAAAACGTTTGACTCGCAAGGTGTTCGGATCCAAGGTACGACTGTAGTAGCATTTCATAAGAAGAAGTAGAGAATTGCCATAGCTGTTCAGATTCAGCCAGCCTAAGGTTGGTTTGTTTGTTTATGAATCGTTTCCTATAAAATATATTGGAAATAAATTCCCAAAAAAGACATCAACAATAAAAACATGTATAAAACAATTTCATATATAGGGCCTGAACAACTTGGGTCCAGGGAGGGAGCCTCGACCCTTGTGGTCTGGATCCAAAGATTACACAGGACATTTCCCCCTCCTGCTCCATAGTACAGGAGCTCCATGAGTGTTGGCAACTTCAGGAATTTTTCCAGGGGGGCAGGAAAAATAAAACACTGCAACGAGGCTGCAAGCTAATTTATCACCCAAAAAATGAGGGCCAGCACATTTTGCCTCCTATCTCAGATTCTAGAAATGCTAGAAACTTTTTTTTTTTAATGGAAGCTTTAGATCTCTAGATTATGCTTCATTTTGGTGCCGGGGGTGTCCACATGGAGAATAACATCAGTGAAATAGTCATTTTCTTTGTAGGTAAGATTCGGAAAGGGACGCGGGTGCCGCTGTGGGTTAAACCACAGAGCCTAGGACTTGCCAATCAGAAGGTTGGCGGTTTGAATCCCCGCGACGGCGTGAGCTCCCGTTGCTCGGTCCCTGCTCCTGCCAACCTAGCAGTTCGAAAGCACGTCAAAGTGCAAGTAGATAAATAGGTACCGCTCCGGCGGAAAGGTAAACGGCATTTCCGTGCGCTGCTCTGGTTCGCCAGAAGTGGCTTAGTCATGCTGGCCACATGACCCGGAAGCTGTACGCCGGCTCCCTCGGCCAATAAAGTGAGATGAGGGCCGCAACCCCAGAGTTGGTCACGACTGGACCTAATGGTCAGGAGTCCCTTTACCTTAAGATTCAGAAAGTGTGTGAAACAGCGCTTCTGGGACAAGACTTCTGCAACAGATCTCAGAGTACAGAAGGGTTCATATGGAACAAAACACCTTTTCAGTTTTGCTTATATAGGCTGTTTATATCTTGAATCGAGCCTTTAAATTTAACTGGCAACAAATGAAGCTTCCCTCAACTTTGGGCTTGTGTTTGTTCTCCTCTGACTCCTCTGTGGAATATCCATTTCCTTCTCGGCTTTTTACAGGTGATCAATCTGTAGAATGGTATATTATGCCTTCGGTTAATGGAGAAGGATTTCCTTCATTACCAATTAAGATTGTTCCCACATTAATATAACGGTTCAGTTCAGGTCCACTCTTACTAATAAAAATGAATGCTTTTAGGGATATTTTTAAGAACCTGCAATAGTCAAAGAAGTAGCCGGGTGACGCCAGAGGGCCAATCTGGTATGGGTGTCTTATATACAGCTTCCAGATCTGTTGCCTACTGTCACTCTGGACAAGTTTGATTTTCAGATATCTAAGGGGTTATCATGCAGAAGATGGAGCAGACTTGTTCTCTCTTGCTGCAGAAAGCAGAATTGGAAGCAACGGGTGGCAATTGTGGGGAATCAGATTTTCATTTTTTTAAAAGTAGGACAGGGAAATCTGTTCAGCAGTGGAACTTTCTGCTTTGGGAAGCAGTGGGGGTTTTTTGTTTTTGTTTTTTGCTGAAAAGAAGCTTGCATCCTGCTTTGCAGATCCTGCACTGAGCAGGAGGTTGGTCTAGATGACTGCCGAGACCCCTTCCAATTCTATAATTCTCCCTCGTGCCTGACTGCTATCTGACTCTATCCACCAAGGCATTTGGGACCCCTTGGGCATTAAAATGTCTTAGCCCGATAAAAAGTACTATAATTCATGCAACAGTATCATCAGTGCCCTACAGCTAACAGTCTGTTGGATTTTCTTGCTGTATACATTACGCCAGCAAATATGCATTTCAAAATAAGTCTCATTAGTGAGATCGTTAGGAGCTCCTACCCAGTCTTGTGTGCCTCCCGGGAGCTCATGTCCTGTCAAAAATAGTTGTCAGTAAGATACCAAAATGCAGACCAGCTTACAATATTCTAGGGGAGAGGGAGTGCAAGGCTTTGCGCTCAAGCGTTTCAGGGGTACAGAAGGTTTTACAGACTCAAAGATTAGCTTATTGATCAGTCCTACTGCCCCGGAACAATATTGATTTGTATTTTCTTCTCGTTTAACTGCTCCTGAAACATATTTTCAAGTTAATTATCCTCGCTGCCTTGGCTGGAAGGCAGATGCAATGTGCTTTGGATACATGGTGACACACAGGTTTAATCTGTATATTTTAATGATCAAAGCAGTGTCATCGAAGGACCTGAGCTTTAGTGTGCCTGCTTAGGCTGGCATGATAAGCTGCAGTGAAAAGGTACTTAACTCTGGGACTGGAGAAAATATTTCTGCTATTTGTCTGAAACTGGTCACTTACCCAGTCCTGGGGAGGGTGGCGGTTGCAGCCTGTCATGGCAGGCACTGGATCTGGGGAAGCAACGCTGGACTAGATGGCTAGCCATTGGGAAATCCCATTGGATTGGCGGCTTTTTCCACCATCATGAGTTTGAAACTGACCAATCCTGCCAGTCCGGGTGGGCGTGACTTTGGGAGCGGACTGGAGTAGAGCACCATTTTCTTTTGATTTCCTGGGCAGGAGAGAAATCAAAACGTTCAGCCAGACATGTGCATCAAGCCAATGTCTTATAAGTTTAAAAGGCAATTTACAGCCGATCGTGTGAACTACTTCAGTCAAACAGAATTGTGTTTTTGAGATGATACCAAGCGATTGCTCTGTGATGGCTATAACACATGATGTACCATATTTTTCGATCCATAAGACACACTTTTTTACTCCTAAAAAGTAAAGGGAAATGTCTGTGCGTCTTATGGAGCGAATGTGTGGTCCCTGGAGCTGAATTGCGCAGGGGGAAAAAGCAGATTGTGGTTTTTTGGGTTTTTTTAGGAAGGGGGTATTGAAACAAAGCCGCTGAGCAGCTGATCAGCAAGCGATTGTGAGGGGAAATAAGGGACTCTAGCGATAAAGGAGGCTGCCTGGGAGGGGGGAGGTAAAGACAGCGAACTTGCGAGGAGACAGGAAGATTCAAGCAACGAGGAGAGAAATTAGAAGAAAGGAGGAGCAAAATACTGCTGCAGCTAAGGAAAAGACACTGAGGCAAACAAGAGGGAAGGGAGTGTTGAAACAAAGCCGCTGAGCAGCTGATCGGCAAGGGATCGGGAGGAACATAACGGACTCTAGAGATAAAGGAGGCTGCCTGGGAGCGGGGAGGTAAAAGCACATGGATCCTCAGGATTTTTGCATTGGGTCACCCCAGATTCACCATCAGATCACATAGCATGTCCATGGCTACAACCTGCACCAAAAAAATCACACATCCACTGTTTCATGGGGCCGCAATGGCGCAAAAAGGGGGTTACAAAGCACAGATCCACATGGATCCTCAGGATTTTTGCATTGGGTCACCCCAAACTCACCGTCAAATCACATATCATGTCTGTGGCCACAGCATGAACCACAAAAATCATACATCCACTGTTTTGTTCAGAGTATTTTTTTTTCTTGTTTTCCTCCTCTAAAAGCTAGGTGCGTCTTATGGTCAGGTGCGTCTTATGGAGCGAAAAATACGGTAATCATCATTTGATATTGCAACAGCTGAGTGGTGAGCATATGCCCAAGAGCAAATGCAGGTGTCCAGAAATGACAGCACTAGGTTGGGAGGGCGATCGCTTGTGTGAAAATGCTCCATGTCAACATATCCCCAGATTAGGGCACATGACTTGCCGATCAGAGAGTGCAACCTCCAGGCAATCCTCAGTCCTGTCACTGTCTTTTCAGAAAACCAACCACCATTTATTACACAGCATTATTGTTCTTTTTCTTTTTCTTTTGTTGTGGACATGCATGCATGCATGCAAGTGGTTGTTTTTTTTTTAAAATAATATTTATTATTTTCAGTAGATAAACATAATAAAAAAGAAGAGATTAAAAATAATAAAGACAAACAAAAAATAGGAGAAAAAGAGAGAAAAGAAAAAAGATACATACAACATATTACCACTTAAATAATTACAATTAAGTACCATCCATCTTCATAAACATAGTATTTGAGTTCCTCGAATCTCTTCCATCCAAATTTCTTAGTAATTATACGTAGCAGTTTCCAATATAAGTGTTTCAAAAGACCATATCACAGTCCTAATCATATAACATAACTTTCCTTATTGTACATTTTCTTATTTATAAACTTAATTCCATTTTAATCCTAGGCCTAATTGTTTCTTTCAAGTGGTTACATATCTTTAATATTACAATATTTATTCAAATAGTCTTTAAATTTTTTCCAGTCTTCTTGGTGTTCCTCTTCTTTCTGGTCACGGATTCTCCCGGTGAGATCAGCCAGCTCCATAAACTCCATCATCTTCATCTGCCATTCTTCTACCGTTGGTAATTATTGTGTTTTCCATTTTTTGGCTAATAAAATCCATGCAGCAGTTGTGACATACAAAAATACGTTTACATCTTTTTTGGGGCAGTTCAGAACCTGTTATTCCAAGGAGAATTACACAGCATTTCTGTGGCACTTGTTTTTACATTCAGATAGTAGAATCAGTGGTGGGAGCTGTGCTGGACATGGGACTGTGGCAGAACGGGCTCCCAACTAAAGGGCATGGAGAAATTGCATTTATTGTCACCAGAACTGGAAGCCCTACACTCAATTCCACGTTTTACTGCTGCTGCAGTGGGATAATGGAAGAAGAAACCTTTTAAAGAATTGTAGCCGAATTCTCACACCAGAGACTTTTATTAGAGTAATTTACCAATTCAGATGAAAATAAGACCAGACGTTTATAGGACTAAAGACATACTAAATCACCAGCTGCTTTGTCTTTATATACTGTCCCAAGCCCAGGAGCATACATATTATAAATTATACTCAAAAGTATAAGACAGCTCCATTTTCTCATCCTAGATGAACTCAGAGGAACCTCTGCACTTCATTTCACAGATATGAGACCCTGTTGACTGCCTTCCTAAATGACGGTTTCGAATCAGTCAATTTAGTTGTCTCACACAGGAATGGATTCCCCCCCATACCAAGCTATATTCCAAAAGTAATATTGATTAAAGTATAAATATAAATTAGCCCTCCCCCCGCTTGAATATTATTTCAGGATTCATACTACATTTCCTTAAAATGCAATATATTAATAATCTTCTATTTAACATAATATTGGATCTACTATAATATAGCATACTATTGTTTCTTTACATCAATAGTTTTTTAATAGCTATAATCAAAACAAAATGACTTCATTAATTAGATCCACATTTCATTTTTCTTAATTTATCTAAACCTCCTTCAATGGATCCTATTTCTCCTTTAAAAAACCCAAACCAGTTTATATGTAATAGGAACTGTTTCACCAAATTCCTGGCTATTTACAAAATCCAAATACCAATCTGCCAAAGTCTTGTCCATCATTCTTTGACTTCCCATTACTTCAGGTTTGTGAAACAGCCTTTCCAGGACAATGTTTTGCCAAACTTTACTGTACCAGTATAAGAATGAAAGATTATCACCTTCTTAGTAACTCATTGTCTGCAACTGGATAATTATATATTGGCTGAATAAGCTGAGATGCAACCAAGTCTTTTGCTCCTCCCCACAACAGCTCGATGTCTTCTGGTAAACCATTGTTTCCCATTTTTCCTGAAATGAGAAACCATGGTTAGCATCAGCTTCAGAACAATATTAAACCACGGTTTGAACTTAGTGGTGTTGTCAGGGCGAGACTTTGGGGGCAGAAGTCTTGGGCTCCACTTAGTAGAACAAAAAGGACCCCCACATTTTAAAGCAACTGAGGCAATGCATGTTACCATCTAAAGAGGGAACTCCCATAAAACTACCAAGTCCAGATCCTTCAACCCCTAGTGAGTGTTCTGCATAAATAAATACTGCAATACAGTGGTACCTCGGGTTACATACGCTTCAGTTTACATACACTTCAGGTTACACACTCCACTAAGCCAGAAATAGTGCTTAAGGTTAAGAACTTTGCTTCAGGATAAGAACAGAAATCGGGCTCCGGCAGCGCAGCAGCAGCAGGAGACCCCATTATCTAAAGTGGTGTTTCAGGTTAAGAACAGTTTCAGGTTAAGTACGGACCTCCAGAACAAATTAAGTACTTAACCCAAGGTACCACTGTACTGCCTGAAGTCAATTTAATATCTGTTCCAAAGCTGGTCCAACAAAATGGGGGACTGGTTAATTGAGGCTGCCCAATTTAATTACAGCTGTCATGAAGGGAGTGAAAGGGCTGTGTCTACAGGTGTGAAGAGTCTTCATTTGTTGTATTATTAAGCAAAATATGATCATCCACACCAGGTCTCTTCTTGTAGAATCTACATCAGTGGTTTTTCAAGCAAAGTTCTGGAGAACCCTGGAGTTCCTCAGTGAAAGGCCAATAAAAGGAGACAAATTTCCCCACAAGGTCTCTTTGTCTTTTGTTACCTATTATCACCTATTATATGCAACTACATGAGACTCATGAAGTTTGGCTACCTAGGGAGCAGAATTAATTAAATTCAGTTCTTATTTAAAGGTGAATCTATTAAATTTCCACTTTTGAGACAATATGCAAACTAAAACACAGCTATCCTTTGAAATTCACACATATCCGAATGTTGCAGTATAGTTCTCCAACCAAACACTGTTTACAAAGATGCACATATTAGTGGGAAGGGTACTTAAGAAAAAAATACAGTAGTGAAATTAAGATAAAAAATGCATCGTATTACGGGAAATTGCTTGCAAAATGTGTACATTAGTCAAAACTGTAAACAAAAATCTGTTTATTTGGAAAAATAGTCAGAAAAATGCTAAGGCATTTTCATGAGAATTGCAAATAAAAAAAAGCAAATTGCTGCAGAAATTTAAAGAACTGTATTTTATTTTGGAAAAATAAGAACCTGGGATAGCTGAAATTGACAGATCGTTCCATCCCTAGTAAGTGCCCTGCATGAACAAAATAAATGTCCTAGTAAGGTAAAGGTAAAGGGACCCCTGACCATTGGATCCAGTCGTGGCTGACTCTGGGGTTGCGGCGCTCATCTTGCTTTATTGGCCGAGGGAGCCGGCATACAGCTTCCGGGTCATGTGGCCAGCATGACTAAGCTGCTTCTGGCGAACCAGAGCAGCGCATGGAAATGCCGTTTACTTTCCCGCCAGAGCGGTACCTATTTATCTACTTGCACTCTGACGTGCTTTTGAACTGCTAGATTGGCAGGAGCAGGGACCAAGCAACAGGAGCTCACCCCGTCGCGGGGATTCAAACCGCCAACCTTCTGATCGGCAAGTCCTAGGCTCTGTGGTTTAACCCACAGCGCCACCCGCATCCCTAAATGTCCTAGTAGAGGTCCCCAAATCTTCTGGGATGAGTTGGGATTCCATCTCAGCCACGCAGGGTTTTTCAGTATTAAGTCAACGCAAGGCAGAGCACATTTTCTCATAGCCTGAGGGCCTGTAGTTAGGTGCATGCATAGTGCAATACATCCTAATTGCATTTCTCCACCAAAACAGGGGCCCAGAATGTGCGCCTAAATGGTTACATTATTCCCAAACTAGCTATGAAACTGGAATGTGATATGCATGTGGTCCAAACTGCTGTATAAGTTTTTTTAAGTGGACATTTGTACATATGCCAAGCTAAACATGGGTTATAAAATTTACCTTCATGCACTATAACACAGGACAAGCCAAGCATGTGAGATGAAATATTGGGGTGCGGGAATTCTGTTCCTGCTTCATTACACACTTGAACCGGCCTTGGATTTGAGGGAATTGCACAATTTAAACTTCATTTATTTGCTGTGTATCATGGCAATTAAGTGTCCAAGATCTGGTGTTTAAGGGTGACAATTGCTTTCCTTCTCTGCATGCTCAGACAAGTTTCATTTACTCGCTGTGATGGTGTCAGACTAGTACAAACAGGCCCATATTGTCTGAAGAAGCAGTTTTTATAAATAAGGAGCTTATTAGTTAAATGAATAAACCCAAACAGAAGGACCATAAATGTATAATGAACAGACTGGCAATTTTCCTCTTTTCTTCCCAAAGCTTCTCTTTTCATAAATCTCTACGATCAAAGGAGCCTTTAACATCGATAGCAACCAGTGCTATTATGTCCCGAGTGATAAAGCAAGGGCATTATTAGTTGGGGCTACTAAAGACAAAAGATTGCAGCGAGAGACAGATTCCTTCCTGGGGGATGAAAATAATGGTCTCATAAATACATCTTCCAATGTTAGCCACCACTTTAAAACTTGCAAGTATAAATTGTGTTCCCGGGAGTGCTCACCCAGACAAGAAGCTATTGACTCTCTTTTTTCTTTTTTTTCCTTTCCCCTAGCTAAGATTGAAATGCCACAAGTTACTCGGTTGTAGAGAGGAATTATTGAGAAGCTTGCAACTCCTGGAAAAATTGACAAGACAAGGCTATCGGTAATATAGCGAATGAACGGTGAGTTGCCCAAGCCTAGACAGGTTAAAAACTGCTTTCTCCATTTGCTGACTTTGTAATTGGTTTTTTGCCATTTTAAGCTATTGCTCAGACTTTCTGGCTCATGGTAATCTATAAAAAAAGATAAGGATTCTTCAGTGAAGCCACATTACGAAGGATTTATTAAAGGGTTTTCCTCTTGCTGTAATATCAATACTGTGCGGAGAGATGTGGCGGTATGCTTTTCCATTAGTACAGAGAGGGTTATTGAGTATCCTGGAAAGCCTTCTTGGTTTGATCCCATTTGACAGTGCAGTAAGTTAAGCCCAGAAGGAAGGTCAGTGCTAACCTTGACCCCATTTTTATTCAGTTTTTTAAAACTGATTTTTGTTTGTTTTGGTAGCTATTTCATGGAACAGTCTAGCATAAGTGTTATGAGTGCCGGCGTGGTTGCTCAAGAGCAAACAGGCAAAACTCCCCGTTGGTCTTTTCAAGGCTTTATTATCTGTCCAAAACATTCACAATGCAGATCGACTCAATTCCATGTCTTCTCAGTCGCTAGCAGAATCTGGGAGTGGGCGGTCCTTAAACTTTCCCCAGCAGAGTAGTCTTTTGACCCCCATCCTACGCCTCTTCTCTCTGCACGTGAACCGACTGCGCTTTGTTTTTTTGTTTTGTTTTTTTGACTACCCATTCCTCTTTAGTGGGTGTATTTTTATCTTTCCAGTGTTTTGCCACTATAACCCTTGCTGCTGACGTTGCATACATAAATAGCCTAGTTTTCTTTTTGGGAATGTTATCTGAAACCATTCCTAGTAAAAATTATTTCGGTTTCTTGCTAAATGTAGTTTTTATCAATCTCTTTATCACTTCATAAATCATGTTCCAAAATCTTTGTATCTCTAGACAGGACCACCACATATGGTAGTATGTTCCTATCTGTTCCTTACATCGCCAGCACTTTGTTCATGCTCGGTGCTGTGGCTCCCCCTTGCATCCTCCGAGCCCTGCACCCCTTCCCGACTGGAGGCATGGCTTCCCTCCTCCGCGGAGGAAGTGCTGCTTCGCACGATCTTTGGAGGCTCCCTGTAACCCAACTGCCCTTCCACCTTTTGCCTCTGAGCTGATGGCAGTTCCCTGACAATAGGTTATGGGACTGTCAGGTACCAAAGATGGCCTTCTAAACTTGTAGTTGAATGCAGCTTAGATGTCACATTTGCTGGTTACCAAAACCTTCTGTTTTTGATGCCTACCTAGGACTACAAAAACAGGAAGTTGACGTAACAAGCAGCTGGCAGGACACAGTACCATATGGCGGGCGGGCTGTGTTCTGCTTAGTGGGTCACAAGTTGTACCCAATTTCACTAAATGGAATCCAGGGTCACTAAATATGTATGAGGCATGAGCCAACCATCAGAAGTCAAGGATAGTGCAGTCCAGTGGTCAGAAGCACTCTACGTGGGGCTACCTTTGAAGGTGACCCGGAAACTACAACTAATCCAGAATGCGGCAGCTAGACTGGTGACTGGAGTGGCCGTCAAGAGCATATAACACTGGTCCTGAAAGACCTACACTGGCTCCCAATACAGTTCCAAGCACAATTCAAAGGGTTGGTGCTGACCTTTAAAGTCCTAAATGGCCTCGGCCCAGTATACCTGAAGGAACGTCTCCACCCCCATCGTTCAGCCCAGACACTGACATCCAGCTCCAGGGGCCTTATGGCAGTTCCCTCCCTGCGAGAAGTGAGGTTACAAAGAACCAGGCAGAGGGCCTTCTCAGTAGTGGCGCCCGCCCTGTGGAACGCCCTCCCATCAGATGTCAAGGAAATAAGTGACTATCTGACTTTTAGAAGACATCTGAAGGCAACCCTGTTTAGGGAAGTTTTTAATGTTTGATGTTTTATCACTTTTTTATTATTATTAATATTCTGTTGTGAGCCACCCAGCCAGATGGGCGGGGTATAAATAATAAATTATTATTATTATTATTATTATTATTATTATTATTATTATTATGGTGGAGTCAATGCAATGAAAGATAGCATAAAAAACAAGAGTATATACATGAACCAGTGGGGTACAAATATAATAATGATAATGATGGTGATGGTGATGGTGATAATAATGATAATAATAATAATAATAATAATAATAATAATAATAATATCATCACTGTATCTCTACTGTCAGAGGCACTATGCCTCTGACTGCCAGTTGCTGCGAATCACAAGTGGGGAGATTGCTGCTGAGCTCAGGTCCTGCTTTCAGGCTTGCCATAGACCTCTGAATGCCCACTATGAGAACAGGAACCTGGACTAGGTGGGCCATTGGCCTGATTAACAGCCTCTTCTTATTGTTGCAAAAGTTGGGTGCCCACCCCTGTAGTAAGATTACAGAGGGTTTCAGGCATTCACCCTGGGTCTGTGTTCCTTTGGAGAGCCGAGACACGGTGGAGACGGCCATAGCTTTAAGAAATATGGTTTATGCACCTATTCACGCCTTCAGTCTGCATGGAGGCAGTCCAGATCTTACAGCATGTTCTTTTCAAGAGGGGCTTGTCCCCCACAGCAATGCAGGCCTGGAGTCCAAGGCTTCTCTCCCAGTCAGCCTTCAGCCAGCCTGCCCAAGATGGATCCCAGCTCCCCCTCCCCTGTTTCTTCTTCCCAGAACACCTTTCTAAAAAATATGTCTCTTTTTGCCTCACTTAAAACACACACCCCATCACTTTGGCAACATCTGGTTTGCATAAGCCAGTCCAGGGATTCCTTGTCTGACACAGTTCTGCAGCTTGTACTTTCATCCATATCCCAATTAATCAAAATCCTACCATTTATTAATTTCTAGGTTTTGGAGGGGACCCCCCCCAAATCTATAACATTATGTTCTTATTTCTGAGACTCCAGTTTCCCTTCTAACATCAAGGCTTCAGATAAAGGGAGTGTTAATCTTTTCTTTGCATATTCCTTCTCACGAGAGCTCTTGAATTAAGGGCACTATAATTTAATTCCCATTTCAGAACCAGAGGTATACACAACTCAGTTGATTACTGAGCTGTTGATCGAATTTGGATAATTCATTACCTTTGGAGGCAGAAGCAGCACTTAATTCTTCCATACTCTCTCATGCTATCCCCCCTCCCCCCAAGTCTGATGTGGTAGAAATAATCTCAGGATCAAAACCTGAAGAAAGTGCACATTTAATCACCAGGTTTTCCACTGATGGTCCCAACTAGGGACCAAATTATTATTTTGTACCTGGGCAAAATGTAATACAGTACATATGTTGATTATCTGTGTGGGGATTTTATCTTCAACTAAGTGATGATTTACTTTTATTCATCACTTACTGCATAAAATGTCTCATAAAATAACTAGATCCTGCAGTTTTCCTTCAACTTCCTTTGTTGCATTTTCCTGAATGAGCAAACATTCCTGTGACATGGGAATCAGCTTGCATGAGTTGATACTTGATGGACTGAGACTACCAAACCATTTAACATAAAATATCTCTGCCGATTGATAGCTTGTTCAGCATTCAAACAAGAGATCTTGTAGGGGCTTGAAACCAAGGTAAAACACAAGCCTATCCCTAACAATATCCAATAAGCCAACACAGAATAGAGTCAGACCTCACCTGGAGTACTGTGTCCAGTTCTGGGCACCACAGTTCAAGAAGGACACTGACAAACTGGAACGTGTCCAGAGGAGGGCAACCAAAATGGTCAAAGGCCTGGAAACGATGCCTTATGAGGAACGGCTAAGGGAGCTGGGCATGTTTAGCCTGGAGAAGAGGAGGTTAAGGGGTGATATGATAGCCATGTTCAAATATATAAAAGGATGTCATATAGAGGAGGGAGAAATGTTGTTTTCTGCTGCTCCAGAGAAGCGGACACGGAGCAATGGATCCAAACTACAAGAAAGAAGATTCCACCTAAACATTAGGAAGAACTTCCTGAGAGTAAGAGCTGTTCGACAGTGGAATTTGCTGCCAAGGAGTGTGGTGGAGTCTCCTTCTTTGGAGGTCTTTAAGCAGAGGCTTGACAACCATATGTCAGGAGTGCTCTGATGGTGTTTCCTGCTTGGCAGGGGGTTGGACTCGATGGCCCTTGTGGTCTATTCCAACTCTATGATTCTATGATTCTATGAATTATCTTGCATTCACAAGGTTTTATAATGTTTTTCCTTTACTATATGTTGATTAGGTGGCATCAACTAGGTACTGCCTAAATCACAGAGAAGACACAGTTGGTTCAGTAGGGATTATTGCCAGGTTAGAACAGCAGCCTAAGTAAGCAATAGCACAATCCTGTGAATGTTTACGCAGAAGTAAGTGTGTACAAGGAAGCTTATTGACAGGTTAAATGTGCAGAGGATCTCAGTGTAAGTGTTCTTCCACAGTGTACATGTCTGGACACAGTGTACATGTTCTTCCACATTTAAATCATGATGTAAACATGCTTTATTTGACACACACACACACACACACACACACGGTGGAATCTCTATTAGTTACAAAAGTGTTACTTTTTATTTGAAAAAAATAGAAGAATATCCACTACTGCTAGCACACAAAAAGCCAAGAGATCTTCAATTCCAGATAGCAGACCTGTTATTAAATGCAACGCAGTTGTGATGAAGCAGGAAATGAATTTCCCCCTTTTCATCTCCCTGTCTGGCAATCCCGTTCTCATCTCCTGTGATATGTGAATGCTTTACACATTTTGAAGAATTGGTCTTCAAAAGACCCAGGTGCTTTGCTGCTATTTTTTCCTCCCCACCTCAGCCTTTCAGACAGAATCAAGGCTTGCTGGCAATTTAGTTTCATTGTGATCTGAAAGCTTGACACTCCAAACAGTACAGGCTTAGCAGGAAAGATGACAGAACAGCTCATGTGGTTATCTTCAACTCCCAGCTAAAAGTCCTTGATGCATTCTAAATGATCTACAAACCATACTGGAATTTTTTTTAAGCAGGGCTTAGGAAAGAGACCTGTCCATGCCTACACCACACGCTCATTCCTGAA